GTCACTTAGCTTGGTGCCCGCCCAGTGACGTAGGAGCACGTCAGATCAGGCATTCATGGAATTCGTAATTGATGCATCGAGAAATCGTGAAATGAATCATTTCAAATATCGCGGTTATTATATATAATACCACGAGAATAGCGGTATACATCAAGGAAGTATTTATAGTAAATTATATTTTTTTAATTTGTCTATTTTATTGTATTATTATAAACATAAGTTATACTTTTTGTTTTTAGGAGATTTTTTGACAAAATTGATAAAATGAGATATATCTACTGGATGGTATGACGAAGTAAAAATTTTACGAAGAATAACAAATCTAAGTTAGAAAGTAAAATGTTATTCATCGTGCTTGCTGTGAAATTTAGAAAAAATTGTTATCCACGTCTGTTGGTATAGATAAAATTTATTATGGCAGATGAATCATTTGGAACTTGATCTTAACTATTTATCAGCAAACCATCACTCGATCGTTAAACTTCGCTTACAAGTTACTCAGAACTTCATTATCCTCCAAGTTTCCCACACTTTGGGTATCGAACCATTAGCAGAGTTCATGTGTCCTCTGAAGTTTGACGTGCAGGCCAGAGATCCCTCCTAACTGAAACTTTTAGTATCTATTATCTTAGAGAGCAGTGAAGTCGAAATTAATTAGGAACTGCTTTTCTATTTGGCTGATCGGATTTATTTCCTTGATCAAAAGATATGGATCAAATACAAAGCTAGTTTCATTTATTTAATATTCTGTTATTATATTACTCATATATTACTAGGCATTCTATTGTTGGCCAGTGAACCATTAAATTGGAAATCTCCCTTTTTTATTCCATTTTATTGGCTTAATACCAAGTGTGTTATTTGAATGTTCTCTTAAGTTCCTTATAAAGGAGCTTGGTCGAGTGTATAGCTGGCTTTTATAGTGGATAGGGACTATACCCCTATTGGTTCACACAAAAGGGTTAACCCACAACCCTTACGCAGAGGCGTGGATAGGAAACAGGTCGACTGAAAAATTTTATTTGCATTTCGCACGATATATCAGCCTATGTTCACTTTACCTCCCTTGTTACCATTGTTACCCTTTTAAAATGAAATATGGTCATGGGAAAATTTGTTCCTTATTTTCCACAATTTTTTCTTTTTTTTTTATTTTGAGTTAGAAGGTAGAATTGGTAAATTATTTAGTAATAATATATTTTAATATTCAATTAACTATTTTTTTTTGTGTCTTGTGAGAAAATTTCTTTAGAATAAAAGGCATTTTTCAAATTTTTTATATAAATATAAGAAATCTTGTTTCGGTTTCATAATGTTGAATTAAATTTAAGTGAAAATATCTTCGCGTAATTAATTAAAAATATCTGTCAGATTACAGTATGATGAATTAACGAGATGATTATCGCTCGTTGTCGTTTATTCTATATATGAGATATAAAAGAAAAAAGACTGATAATTACAATTAATGGTATTACGAGTAAAGATATCTGAAAATCTAAAGACGCAAGTCACTTCCAGTATCACATGACAGCCGGTGAAAAACTTGTCAAATAAACGTGTATACAGGATATTAAAAAAGTTGTTTCAAGCATGTACCTATTAATTATAATTAATTGAAGTAGACGTAATCAACGTAGATCTTATTCTAAGTTTTTAACTATCTCAAAATATTTATATCCTTATTCCATACTGACATAACAAATACAAGAATTGCATATCTATATTACCTACTTACTTACATAATTCTTATTTATACAATTAATTTATTTACATAACACTATATTTGCAAACACTGTACAAAAGTTATTTTTATTCGTTAGCCCTGTACGCCATTCCAATTCGACTCTCACGAAACAATTTTTAATAAAAGCTTTGCTCCACCATAACATCTTCTATGTCGTGAATTCTTCTTTGAGAAAAAAGATCTCGCGTCTCAAAATTTGTTTTCACGTAGCAGTGAGAATACAACAGAGAAAGGGAGGCTTTCGAGACGCTATGAGATTGTGTTATCCTGATCCTGCTCGACGTCGAGTGACATCGTTGCGATTAGCGCCTGCCTGACTTCTTCTTCGTCTTGGTCGTCGTCATCGGTCCTCGTTGGCGGATCCACTGTTTTATATAAGAGAAACAAAGGATCGACCGTTAACTCTTCGTGTCACTTATAAAGAGACGCATAACCCGGGGCGATAATCGAGGCATTAATCGAAGCATAATCGGCACATAATCGTCGACAATGGGCGTATGCACGTCGCTGAGCATATGTGAGTCGGACGAAACGAACGTCGAGGTCGTCGTCAAGTACGTATAGCTCTGGCACACGCAGTGTTTCAACTCTGGCTGAAAGGCAACGATTATCCCACCGAATCTGTAATCTCGCTCGAACTTGCTGTATTTTGTGTTTGGACGAGGGGATGGGGTCGAAATGGAAAGCATTTTTGGTTCTTCTACAAATGGCAAAGTCTTTCGTTTTAAAAGATTGTAAGAAAATAAGGGAAAGATTCGAGATAGGAAATGTTGGGCATTATTAAAGATTAAGTGACAAGAGGAAAAAAGTGCATTAGTGGCAGTAAGGGTTACATTTGGGATAGGTTCCTCCATTTTGTTGTTTCACAAAATGGAGGAAAAGCCATTCGAGTTGGTAAATATTAAAAATCGTACTGTACCGTAAAAGAAAGGTAGAAGATATGAAGATAAGGTGCAATTAAGTATCATGAATTTCACGAATTAAATGTAGAAATTAGCAATTTGCTTTAAAGTCTATACATATTTAAATGCTATTAACATAGTTGATAATCAATTTCTTGTTTGTTGTTTAAAAATTTTTTATCGTAATGCAAGAAAGAAGAATCGTTGCAAACAATCAGATCATAAAATATATCCGAGATGAAATTTAGCATTAACATTGCACGTAAAATGCTGTTATAACCAAGGAAAGTTCGAGCGAAACACTATTATATGTATCGTTTTAAACAGTGCACCAACGACGAGCCACGCCTATGTCACAAATTGTGTAATATATTTTGCTCAAAATAATTAATTAGAGAAATTTTATATTCCTATAAGTTTGGCGATATTTTCCAATAGTTACTTTATCACAATTTGGGGGAAATATTTAATCATTTTGAGCAACATATTTGGCACTTTGCAAAAAAGATCGGCACCGATAAAAAAAATGTATTTCATTACTATATTGCAATAACTCCTTGTAGCTTTATGTTACACCGTTGTATCATTATATGAATTTCTTTAATGAAGTATATGCAGGTTTCCTTAGTGCTGCAATCTATAAAAGTTATTTAATAGAAACAGAAATTTAATTGCTACTACATTATTGAAATTAAATGTAAAATGTATAACTACATACCGTCATTATTACTGTGGGCTACTTTTAGTTATTTCTTGCAGCTGTAAAGTACTCCTAGTTCTCTTGATCAGATTTTCTAATTTCTACAAAGAAAATAACTTACATTATATTTTATTTAATTTCAGTCTTATTCGAATTAACAAAAATCTACATAAATTGTATAATATATATAAAACCTGTAGTTAAGTATCTTTACTTCGAGTGCCGAAAAATCCAGTAAATCAAATTTCATGTATCTAATAACAAACAATGTCTATTCGTGGTATACCTCTTGAACTATGCCACATGTTACTTCTTGTTGCCACCTTCACACCGAATATCAGCCCCACGTTTCGACCACGCGTGCTATTAACTACCTCTGTCGGATTTAAACAGAGGTAACGATGAATTTTCTTCTTTATCATTTTCTCAACTAGCAAATCGTTATTTACAACGCAAGGATTCGTCTGATTTCTAACAATTTTTGTATATATTTTTATTAGATGTTACACGTTTGATAATAATTACGAAGTTGGTAGTTAATTAGGGTTATAATATTTATTATATGGAGCGTATAGGAAATTTATTGAAGCATCACCATAGTGGGCGAGATTGTTTTGTGATCATAGTTATGAAAGGGTTATAAAAGTTGAATAATACGGAGGGTGATATTACGTAAAAGTTACATGTACAGAGCGTCTCGAAGGAAAGTTACCAATAATGGTATAATGTCTTCAGGATAGGTAATACTAATATTTTAATAGATTCCATATTCATGAAACAAATATTTTCTTTGAATTGTTTTTAATTTTACGTACAATATTTAGATAATATTACGAAAGCTTTTAACAGTGATAAAACATGAAAGTACATTTCTTGACAGAAAAATAAACAATAAACAAACTCTTATTGTTTACTTAAAAATCTACTTAAAAAAGAAGGAAATTATTTATATATCTTAATTAAAAAAAAATAGAAATTAAATTCTATTCACCATGATTAATTCACCACGATATTTAATATTTCGCACTGCTATCCTGTTGCTTATCACCAATTTTAAGAAGCCTTGAATTTGTTTTATGATATTTACATACAAAAGTGACTGTTCAGCCTATTTCGATATAAAGCAGTAAAACATAAGTCTATATGAAGAACTTTGTATTTTGCTTGGGAACGAATATATCGAAAACAGACATTACGTTGATACTTTCACCGATTTTTTAAAATCTTGAATTATTTTCAATCGTGATAACGGACAATTATTTTTCTACTATCAAGGATGATCTAGGTACAACTAATACGTGCAAACAAGCATATAATTTTCGTGATAAGGCATACTGATAAAGGATTAAGCAAGACGGTTGGTTTATTTACACTGTGATCGATTCCCAATCTATTACCAGAGTAAAAATCATCATGTATTAAACTGCAAAGGAAAAGATGCTAATTTTTCAGTTTTTATTAATTTATTTAATATTCTTTTATCTTATGCCACATACGGTTAATTAAAAAATGTAAAAGTCTTTATAATTTCATTGTACTGTTTTTCATTTCTTATTCATAATTTCTGAACTTAAAATTCTTGTTTTACATTATTTTTCATGTTACATTTCTCCTGTGTAATATTTAATTTATAATACTATGGTATTTTTTATAGCAAGAAAAACAGCAACATGGTTGACCAAGCAGTTTTGGACAAACTGGAAGCTGGCTTCTCTAAATTGGCTGCCTCTGACAGCAAATCCCTGCTAAAGAAGTATCTGACCAAGGAGGTCTTCGATCAACTGAAAACAAAGAAGACCTCTTTTGGCTCCAGCCTTCTTGATGTGATTCAGTCAGGCGTGGAGAATTTGGACTCTGGAGTCGGTATCTATGCTCCCGACGCTGAGTCTTACACAGTTTTTGCTGACCTCTTCGACCCAATCATCGAGGATTATCATGGTGGCTTCAAGAAAAGTGACAAGCATCCACCAAAGGACTTTGGAGACGTTGACTCCCTTGGCAACCTTGACCCAGCTGTTAGTATTGAATTTTGCAAATATATTTATTTATTCCTTTTAAAAATTATAATTGTCTACAATAGGAAACTTCATTCTCGTGCATTTTGCAAATATACATGTTCAAAGTATTAATTAACTCTTTCC